GCTACTGATCTCTGTTTCTACGCCATCACCAGAAATGCCTTACTTTAGGGGGCAGAGTCTGTAGACTTGTGGCAAATGTAGCGTTAAGACTACTGTTTCCTTCTTCCACAAGGTGGTACTCATTTATCATCTTCGGAAGGAAGGAAGGCGTATGGCCCCGACTGGGGACTTCTCGGTTCCGTGTCCAACGCTCTACCGACTGAGTAAACCCGGTCTGAACCCATGTATGACAAACTGCATAATGAAGAGAATTCCATATAAAAACTTATCACAGAGAGAAACCGACACCAATTATCTCTTCTGATGGACATTAACAAGAAATAAACATTTGATTTTAGAAATAACGATACCCGATTGAAACGTCGGTAATGCACAGAGTAAAGAAGGAAAGATGCCTTTATCACATTAGAGCAGCTGCACGGCCCTTTTACTTCTAGTTGCCCAGGAGGCCATTTAAACAGGTCAGGCCTACATGGTACTTCAGCACCTGCAGTGCAAAGAAAGCATGACAGCGTCTCTAAGTCTGATTGAGCAAGAACATATTTAAACCCAAACGCATTTCCAAAACTCCGTAGACAAATCAAGATAAAACCCTGATGTTCTGGGATAGCTTTCAATACCGCCGTTAAATGCCTCCCTAGGAAACCATAAACAAGGGTACTGTGCGATAATGCAGCTGGTATAAAATGGGTATTACGATTTTCTTTCTTTGCTCCATGCAATTCCGCCGTTTCAACGCGGTATCATTGTTTTTAATTTCATATAAGTGAAGGCGATATCGAAAGCCACCCCACAACATCGTGGCAGTTTTATCTTTAATAAATTAATATATTTACAAAATTTCCCTTGCTTTTTCGCGATTTAATAAACAATTGGAAAAACATACTTACAAAACTTAACTAACTTGCTGTACATATATACATGCCTACACAGTTCTTAGGTGACTTTTCTTAAAGAAGTGACATTAAAGAAACTGGGGTAGCAATGAAATAGTGCAATGCCAGACCAATCCATGGTTTTCTACATATGAAAACAAGGGCTCATCGTTAAAACGCACATTTAAGTAACAATGTGGGGCAAATGGCAAAAACAGAAA